GTTTTTGTCTACCGTCTCTCTTGGACAGTGGACAATTCAAAATTGGGTCAAAACATCTATTAACGGTATACAGAAATCTACAGATCTAAATAATAAAAACAAAAAACAGACCCTTTCAATATTTAGAAGAGATTTTTGTTTAATTTTTCGATAAATTACCTAAACTTCCTTCACATTATTGTAGGAGAAATACTAAGAGTTTATACATAGAACCAATTTTTAAAAATAGCCGTAATAGTTTATATAACGAATATCAAAAACAGTGTCAAATTGATACTAGTTATAATGTGAAACGGTTGAGCAGACTAGGCTTTGATAAGGTAATGAAAGAAAAAAAATTAAAATTTGCATTACCAAAAAAATATTTGTGCGATATTTGTGTTGCTCATGATTGCAGCAACTTAAGTGAAAAGATTTTTCAAAATCATATTGCAAACAAAAAAGAAGCATAGTTTTAGCACAGGCTGTAAAAGTTTGTCCTATGCTAAATGCTTCTTCATTATTACATTGTCTTCTACAAGACAAAACTTGCTTGTCATAATTTTACGATGTATAATTTAAATTCAAAGAAAGCTATTTGCTACTGGTTTGCCGAAACAGAATCGGATTTGACATCTAACACGTTTGCATCTTGTGTTATAAATTATTTAACAGAACGATGAGAAAATGCAACTAAAATAATTATATGGAGTGATTTGACTGTGGTTATCAGAACAAAAATTCGACGTTATCAAACGCTTTGTTAACTTATGCAATTGAAAAGAAAATTACGATTTATCAAAAGTTTTTACAAAAGGGTCATACACAAATGGAAGTAGATTCGGTACATGCTTACATAGAAAAAGAAATGAGGAATAAACCTATCTACATCCCAGACGATTATTTTAAAGGCACTACAAATGCAAGGAAAAAAAAATCCATATATAATAAGAAGACTTTTCTATATGAATTTACAAAAAACTATGACAAAAATAAAATATTTAAATCTATTAAACCAGTTGACTCAACGTCAATAACGTAACGTAAAGGTTATAGAATATAGTCCGAGTGGCATTAAAGTTAAAACGGCTTTTACTGGAAGTTGGATCGAGCAACCACTAAGACGTTCAAACATTAAAATGATGAAGTCAGCAAATTTAAAAAATTTCACCAGCGTACAAAGTGAGCCGTTGAAAATATTACACCGCAAATGTCTCCACTTACAAGAATTAAAAGCAGTAGTTCCAAAGGACTATCACTCCTTTTATGATAACCTTCCTAACAAATAATTACATAAAATCTTTCATAAATAAACAAAGAATATTTTTTTTAGTAATACATAATGAATTAGTTGTTTTTGTTTTATTATGCATTAATAAAAAATATATTTGTAATTTTTTGATAATTTTGTTTTTTTTTTATTAAAATTTTGTATTAAAATATTACAAATAATCACACATTTTCTAGTAGGAAATCAACAGTTTATACTTTTTACTGTGGAACCTCGTAAGAACATTTTCTCCCAGTCATGATAATTTTTGGAAGTTTTATGTATTAATATTTTATTCCTTGAAACTTTAAAAAAAATCAGACCTATCATTTGAACCAAAAGAGCTATTCGGTTTTTTCATCGCCCTGTAAAATTTAATTTTTGTGGGTTACGAGGTATCACTGTTGCAACAGCGATATGTGACCTATAATTGGACACACGACTGCCAAGTTTCATGAATCTAGCTTTATTATTTTTTCGAATACTTTGGAGTTTTAGTGTTTACTTTCGAATTTTTTGGAGTTCTATGGCAGCTACATGAGCCTGTCATGTCATTTCACCAAAACTTCAGGAATATATGTGACTAATAATTGGATACACGATTGCCGAAATAAATCTGACTTAATTTTTTTCCAAATATTTAAAACTAGCTTTAGGAGTTTTATGTAAGCTATCCAAACCAGTCCAGCCATTCCATTAAAATTTTTAGGGTATATGTAGAGTGCAATTGGGCACATCTTTGCAAAATTTGATATTAATATCTTTATTAGTTTTTGAAATATTTAAAAAAATCATTCTGAGTTGTATGGCAGCTACCCGAACCTACTGTCCGAATTGGTCAAATTGTAATAGCATCCGTCCTTGTCAGAAAAGAAAGAACTTGTGAAAGTTTAGTGTCGATTGCTTTATTCGTTTTTGATTTATCGTGCGATCGGGCGGACGAAAAGACGACGGACGGGTTCACGAAGGTGCAGGGTATAAAAAACGAAATCTTTTCAATGCACAATCAATTTAATTATTTTTCTCTCTTTTGTGTAAAATCCAATTACCAGTAAAATTTGAAAAATTTTTTTTTATTAATTTTTCTTTTTAATTTGTTTTTGCATTTTATACATTTTTCAAAAGTTTTTTAAAACCTTCAATAGCTAAGTTTCATTTGTAGTTTATGATTTAACAAAATAAAAAAAAACATAGACCAAATTCTAGTCCAATTTTAAAAAGCAATTTTATTTTATAATACGCCAGCTCTCTAAAATATCAAACGTTATGAATTATTTTTAGTTTCAAATTCGGAATTTTTAAGAGTAAATATGTATAAAATATGGCGTTAAAATATAGATACATATGTCATGTTATACATTTTTGAATTGAAAATGTATTCTAACTTTTTTACCGTATTTTCATATAACATTTAAAACTAGATAAGATAACTTATTCAGCTCTGATTGATACTAATTGCAATTGGAAAAACTGTATATCTCATTTGATATAGAAAAATATGTTAAAATCCGAGCACTATGTAATATTTAGTAGCAACATTTTAAAACGCTAACTTTCTAAACCATCTTCACTTAACTTCCATTAGTTAATGTTTTAAAAAATAAGGCGATAAAATTTCAATAGCGTTTTACTCGCAATGGCCGAAATGTTGATACCATATTCTGACAGAAAACCCTAGATTTGATTTGTATTGATAAAAATATTTTGCAATTGAATTTGTCCTCTTCAAAGACAAAATGCCTTGATGGTGACTGAATTTAATTACATTTAAGAAACTCCAACCGTTTCATGGTTCTAATTGCTGTAAATAACCAATATATTTTTAATTATAATTCGTAAAGAATTCTCTGGAAAATAGTTTAATTGATTGCTGTTTTTTATGGCATGTTATGTATAATACGTTATTATAACTATTTTGTTCAACATTATATCATAGGATTTAGTTACTGAAACGGTTTTTGAGTATAATGCAGCTTTTTTCACCTTAAAACTTTTAAAAACAAAAACGAGTAGCTGACCTTTTTCAGCAAGGTTTTTGAAAAAAAATTTATTTCAATTGTCAAAAATAAGAGTTATATCTCAAAATTATTCAATGAGATAAAGAATTAATGACAAAAACAATTGTCTTCAGCCCCCTTTGATTTCCGTTTTTCCTCTCAAAAATAAGGATTCATCTCAAAAATAAGAGTTATATCTCAAAATTATTCAATGAGATAAAGAATTAATGACAAAAACAATTGTCTTCAGCCCCCTTAGATACCAGACAATGATTAGTTCAACTATATAGCTAAAATATAGAATACTTTACTTCTCTTCCGACTGAAACAAAATTAGCACTTTTTTCGATATCCAATAATTGTATTTTGTAATTAATGTTGAATGAAGTATTAACGACATAATTAAGGTTTCCGTTATTTCATGTCATGGTACAAATAAGCAGTCATAATAAAGGTATGGAACAAAGAGTATTTTGCGAATACTTTCTCGAAAAAAGTTATAAGAGTATATTTTAATTTTTTGTATCTCTACTATTACATCATTACCCCATATATTTTTTCAAAATTTATTATGTGCTTTCTTACTACCTTAAATTTAAACAAACTTAAGTTTTTACCACTCACAACATTTTTTAAAGTTTTGTAACTGAAATAAGAAATTTTTAAAATTTTTACATTATAAATTATCTACATGCAAGCTTTTGATTATAACGGTAAATTAATACATTTGTTCAGGTAAAAGCCATACGTATGTTTTAATAAGGTGAACATTTGTCCTTTTTTCCCAAACTTATCTTCTTAATTGGGAGCCAAATACTCGTATACCAACGTAGCGTCTTTTCTTTCAGTATTTCGTATTTATACTCCTTTTTATAATGTGCACTGTTTTTTTTCTTATAACTTTAAAGAATAATGATCTAAAGTATATATATACATATATATTTTCTTAAAATATATAAAAAAAAAGTAGTTCCGTGTTACAAACTTACACTCGTTTAAATATTGTTTAGGACGATTATACATAATTCTTATATGATTATTCTAACAATGTTTCGCTATTTCGTAAACTGTCAAACAGGACAGATAGCAATAAATAAAATTAGTGCATATTCTTTCTCTACAGTCCGTATATAAGATAAAAAAGTTAAGTGCCAATTGACTTAGCATCGATTTTTTCTTAATTTAAAACCTGCCACTATTCTATGCTTTACAAAATGGTTTTGTTTTGGTTGATTTTCTTAATATTTTTATTACCACTTATCAGACATACATAATATGTGATTATGCATTGATCTCATTTCAAAAACAAAATATGTAATGAATATAAATGTGACCCGCTTCTTTTTAATCAAATTATGGCCACTCTATCATATAAAATGTTGATCATACTTACGTATATACTTGCATTAAATTTACATTAATATCAAGCATCGCAAAATCACAAAAAAATTAAAAATTCAATATAACTAGTCAGCACAGCTAACAGTTTTTCATTGAATATTAGAAATAAAAGAGTTGTAAAATGAGTATGATATTACGTTCATATTGTACGTATGTACATACAGATGAATGTACGTGTATATATGTTCAAAATAATGTAAACGCATATACATATTTATGCACATATGCACGTAAATGTAAGGTAAGTACATATTATAAACAAAAAGAAATCTTAAAAAAAACTGTTACAATATTATATATTTCGTACATATGACGGATGAACTAGTTTCAATTGAAGTGTAGTGGAATAAAGACCAAAAAATTAATTATCGCGAATTTAATTTTTGTTTAATATTTTAAATTTTAATAAATTTCGTTTTCATTTACATTATTATTTTAAAACATTTTCAAAAATTAAAAATGTTTTCATTAAATCTTCTTTTATTTTTGATTCTATCGATAGTTACAGTAATTGCTATTGAAATTGCGGTAAGGATGAATTTATATTTTTTTATAAAAAAAGAAGTTTTTTTAATAAAAAGGACTTTCCATTTAAGAGAATTACAAGGAGAACAACGTTTTTATAAATTTTTTATACCTCTGTTAACAAGCTTTCTTTGTTAGTTTTCGATAAGACTAACCTCATTTTACCTCTTTTATTGCTAGGAACGGAAAAAATGAAGAAAATAATAAAAACGGATTATTATTGAACAACTTGATTGTAATTTCTTCTAAAGCACACAGTAATATAAAAAAAGCATATCCAAAGTGACTATAAACAATCGAAGATCATATTTCTGTTTTGTAAATAAAATATTTAATAACTCGTAACATTTTGTTCAAAGTAGAAACAATTTTTATTTTTATGTAACGTAAACATACATATGTACATATTTCAATTGTAAAACGCGCTAAAATTATTTCAATTATATGGATAAAATAAAACTAAAAGTAAGACAATATATTAAGCAATTACGCTGATAATTTAATTTTGATATATGAATGTTGTTATAAATGTAGACAAAATTATAGTAAATTTTTTTTATTCTAAATCTAACTAGATAATTTATTTTCATAAACAGTTCAAAGTATAATTAATTTGAAAAAAGTATATTTTTCAAAAGTTTTGAATTATATTCAAAGTAAAAATAAAGGGCTAGGATACATGTATGTGAAATTTAGCTATGAAATATGGTTGTTGTGACTTCAGACATAGTTTGCGTCTGTTCTGTTTAAAAAAATATCTAATTTAGATAAAAATTTTTCCAGTTTTATTAGCAATAATCCATAATGTTCAATACAAACCGTGACATCCAAAACGCAATGAAGAAAGTTTAACTATAGTTTAATTGCAGTATTAATAGCGTAGTAAAACTTTAAAAACGGCTACATTGTAAAAGAAGTGGAAAGAAATTTAAACATTTTGGAATTTGGATCACTATATCGGTAGGTTAAAGTATTAAATCAGGCACGACAGTGGTAAACAAATTTATTTGGTCTGGTCAAATAGTTTAATTAAATAACATTGGCCACACTACTTTTACATTTAGTAAAAAAGTAGTAAGGTTTTTTTACTAAGTTGTTTGCTTTCAAATTTTTTCACTAAGCTGTTAAAACCCACTTTTATCGTTTTTGATATTGTTACATTTTATAATTTTTTTTCTACAATATAGATCACAGATACAACCTTTTACTACTTTAGTACTATACATTTTGTATGTCAGGGTAACCTCAAAAACAAATAAACAATAGCTTTTCAAAATTTAATATTATAAAAAGAGAATAGGCAGAGTTGACCGTGTCAACTTTGTGATACGCGTAAAAATAATTCTAAGTGCTGTGTGTTGGTACACTGTTCCATTAGTAATTCTGGTTTTTTATCCCTTTGCTTAAAATTTCAGAACCGTAACTTCATTAATTACCATAACATAAGATCAAAAGACTTTCGAAGTTGTATGGCAGCTACCACCGCAAGTCAAGAAATTTTAACTAGTTTTACAAAATGTAAGAACGCTAATAAAATATTTGCTTGTGTAAAGTCTCAATACTGTAGGTTCTATAACTTCTCAGTTCTAGCTGAATGACTTTTGAACCTGTAAGCCTACAATAAGGAGTGAAGTAATTTCAACGAATTTTATCACATATAATAGTCCCAATAATATATTTCCTTGTGCGAAATTTCGATATTATAGCTTCTTATAACTTTTAAGATATAGCCAAATAACTTTAGAAATTGTATGGTACCTACATCTTGAAATTCGATGAGCTTAGCTTAATTAGTTATTGAGATATCGTTGATACGGACTGACGAACGGACAGATGGGCGGATGGACGGACGGATGAACGGACAGACGGACATACATAAAAGGTGTCGGAAAATGTGCCAGGGTAAAAGACCTTCACGACTTTGCTACATATACGCACTCGTTTGTTGAAATTTTCCATAATTGTTTTGCATAAATGTGGCTTAATTTTGTTAATACAGCGCTCAATTTCCTCTTTCAAGGCTTGGGTGGTCGTGGGCTTGTTGATATAAAGCTTAGACTTCAAGAAACCCCAAACGGGAAACTACATGACCAGAAAATCACTCATGCAGTTATTGAATTGTTTCTTGGACTGTATGACATGTGGCACCGTTTTTTCAAACCACATGCCGTCCACATCCATATCTTACAATTTTTGCACAAAAAACTAAATTATCATGTCGCGATGGCGAGAACAATTAACCGTTATTGGCCAGCTGCACTCTCATTGAAGAACGGTAATGATAATGCCTCCAAACCAAAAACGACACCAAACAGTGACACGTTGTGGATGCATTTGTTTCTCAACAATCACTTGTGAGTTTTCTGAAACCCACATGCGACAATTTTGTTGATTAACAAAGCCATCAAGATAAAAATAAGCCTCATCGCTGAAGATGATTTTTTTCGAAAAATCACCATCCACTTTTTGTTGTTCCATTATGCATTCAACGAACTTTCTTCGCTGTGATCATGGTCAGTAGGCTTTAGTTCTTAAGTCAATCAGATCTTTGTAAGCATAAAGATTCAAATCTTGTGAGAATACGGTCTAGAGAGCTTCTCGAAATGTCCAACTCTTGACCACGCACGATGTTTCTGGACTCTCAGCAACACTCTCTCAAACCGCTTCAATGTTTTGTGTTGAACGACTTGTTGAAGGACGGCCAGATTGTCAGGACTAATTGATTCAATCTCTCTAAATTTTTAAATTAGTCTTTTTACAGTTGATGAAGTTAAATCACTATTCCTATTTTTGCTCCATTTTTAATAATCTGAACTGTCATTTCCCCAAACATCCCGTATTTTTTTTTGGGGTTAGCAACATTTTACCGCACAAATAGTGCAAAATTCAAATCTTGTCAAAATTATTCCTTGATCTAAACCCTTAATTAACTTAAGGTAATCAAAAAAAAATAAATTAAGAAACAAATTTATGTTAAAATGATTAATCAAACTAAAGTAATGCCTTTGTTAAACGGAAAAATTTATAAACCAAAATTGTATTAGTAATACTAATATACCATCTACTTAACATGGATGTAGTGTCAAATTTTTAATATCATTATTTGGATATAAAATTTTCATAAAAAAGAAAAGTAAAAAAAAACATTTGCATCTTCAATGAAATAGAAATTGTATTTCCCTTTATCCCTGTCTCTTTCGAAAAACCATATCTTTAAAAAATATTTCGCATACACGGCGCAAAATATAGGCACAGAAAAACAAAACGAAATACATGATGATAAGATTGAGTTTTCATTTCAATCACTGCATCTACTAAAACATTTAAGAAATGTTAGCCCAATAATTGAAGCGCCATACATCCTTCTAAACATAATTTTTTTTGGGCGAAACAATTATTTTTGATTTTTGCTTTCACTTTTCTTTTTCTAGTTTTTTCTTTGTTAAGTGCAGAGCTTAATTTCGTCTGTGTCGTTAAAACTTTTTAGCCTAGATATTGCAATTTAAAACTTTCAAAAATATTTTTTAAGCCTTTTAAGAAAAATTTAAGATAGAAAGCTTATTATAAAAAAATTTAAGATAAAATTATATACATATGTATAGATAAATCTTTACCAGAAACTTATTTTCATAGAAGAAAATTTTAACTAGCCAACTCAAAAGCAATTTTTGATCATTTATTGTTACGAAACCACAAACATTTTTTAACTTCTGCAAATTCAGAAAAGTTGGGGCTGTCTTCCTGTAGGACATTAATAAATAAATTTAATTTTAAAAGCTTTTAAACAATAAAAAATTATTTATTTCGTTAAAAGAAAATTTTTTTGCACTATCCTCTTTTAAGTTTTGGCCTCTCGCAATTTGTAAAATTTGAATTTTCGTCCAATTATCTTTCTGAATTTGCAAGTTGTCCAACTTTCTAAGAATGCAGAAAGCTAACGACAAATGTCATGCCATCAAAAAATATAATTATTTATCTTATCTCACGCAATTAAACCTTCAACTCGGCCATCATGAAACGCCTCTTTACATTTGTCTTCTTGTCTCATCCAAAATATGATGAAAGTAATTTAAAAAATGTTCTTCATAGAAAGTTTTTAAAGCAGTATTTTTACGTGTTCAAGGGAAAAGTGCTACTTAACAAATCATTCGTTTAATTCAACTTTGTTTTTTTTATTTCTTTGATTAAAAATACTCAAGTCAAATTAGCTAATTTAATTTCAATAAAAGAATTAAAGTAAATTGTTTTATTGAAATTTAATCAAAGAAATAAAAAGAAACAAAATATTTAGAGGTTTTTGCAAAGAAGTTTGTATGTAATCTTCTAAAAATTCTAAAGGTGGGAATATATCTCTTCTGTGTCGAAAAACTGCTTGAAAAAAATAATAAAATTATGCATATGTATATAAAAAAGAAATTTAATATATTTTTTTTCTTTCTAGCTGAATATATTTAATGACTGCCTAATAAACAAGTAGTATAATGTGAAAATAATGTAAAGATTGCAAGTCAGACCAGTTCACTCGATGTTGGCATAAAAGAATAGATAGAACAAACGAATATCGAATTGCTTGTAAATATAAATTCTCTGATTATTGAGATTGTATTTGTCTAAATGTATTAACACCAAAATTAGTTTGTGTGTACTAAATCCCTTCGAATTCTTCATATAAATATCCCTATTTCAATAAGTTAAAAATACATAGCAAGGCAACTTAGAAAATACTAAGTATAAAAACTTTTGCTTCACAGCAATTTCTGTGGTTTATAAGTTTAAAATTTATAGCAAGTTTAAAATAAAAATACTATACTAAACTAAGAGTTATTATAAAACCATTATTAAAAATAACATTGCAAAGCTTTTAATGTTTTCCATAATTATTTGATTTTTAAAGGCTGTTAAAAATATTAACATTTAAATAGAATTTACAGGGAAACCACATAACAAGTAACAAAACAAAAACCACTATAATTTACTCAAAAATCGCGGATTACTTAAGCTAAATTGAATGTTATCCTGTCAGAAAATCAGGTAGGCCAAGGATAAACAAAATTTGAATCAATCTAATAAATTTTAATCCGATGTTGTTAAATACTTTTATTGTTATACTTTAGAAAGTATTATACAATATAAAAACCGTTGCCTAAAACCTATGTATTTATTATATTTTTTCCTTTTTTTTCATATACCAAAAAAAGCGAAATAAATAAATTTGAACCAAAATACAGGTTTATAAAGTAGCACATTTCTTTGAAAAAAATTGTTTAAACGAGAAAAATATACTTAACCATGTCAAATCTGTGATACCCATACGAATGTTTTCAAAAAGTTACCTGACATAAATTAAAGTTACCTGAAAAATATTCAATACCAAAATTTTTTAAAATTAATCTATTATTAACTTTTTTTTTATTTGTTTGGTGTACATATTTTAAATTTTATAACTTAAATACAAATAATTTTTGCCTTTGTATGGCAGATAAGATAACCGCAACCAAACTTTAATAGAATAGTGGAGTACGAGATTTCGTTCGCATTACAAAAGCATTATCATAATGGTTGAATTCGACGGCCAATAAAGCTGGTTTTCAATTTTTGTTGGAAATACTCGTATATGAAAAAGAATTCTTAAACAATACTCAAAGGATGCTTGCTATAAATTTCCCATTCTCTTTTTATAACGTAAAAGCCGACGTCAGAAACAATATATATATATATATATTATATATATATATCTATATGTATACATTTAGTCGCGTCTCCTTATTTACTTTATTCATAAATTGTTTGTAACAAGAAGTAACAATGTTGAATTTCTATTTTTTATTTCATATTATTGCATTTCATTTTAAAATTTTAAATGAAATTTTATGTCACTTTTTTTAAGTGAAATGAGAAATGATAGCTTGACAGAAGTTATAGAAAATCAGAGAAATTCAAATTTTCAAATAAAATTATTACGCGCGCATTACTTTGGTGTATGTAAGCCGAACCAATGATTACTGAATACCAAAAGTTTTAACAACTATTTTAAATATTTTGTATTGAAAATAATTGTTTGGGATTAAAAGACACTGCTACAAATAATAATAAATTTGTTATATTCTGAGAGGCAAATTTTATATCTTTTTTTTTTAATTAAACGCCAATTCCGAAAAAAAAATCTAATAACAAGGTTTTCATTCCATTGAAGCACGAAACATTTTTTTTTACAAATCCACTAAAAATGTAAACGTTTTTATTATAAAAGTACTTGAATATTGGAATTATAGATTGCAGCAAAATGTTGGAAAAAATATATTTTAGTTTGTTACATAACAAAAGGCATGAGAACTTTTTAACTAGATTTTCAAGTTTTCATCTTAAAAACAAAAAACAAAAAAAAACAAACTTGCATAGCAAAAAGTGAAGTAATACAAAAATTCAAAAAACCAAACCAATAAACATTTTTGAATTTTGAGTAAAGATATCTTTAAGACAATTTTATCTTTAACAGTTTATGATTTAGTTTGTAATTCTTATGGTATTGGTGAAATAATTTTTTAAAGTGAAGATTTTAAGCAGGAGTGTATAAACTCACTCTTATTTAATCAATGTGTTGTAAGCCCACTGTTTGTTACCTGCTCTTCAAGAGTTTTTTTTATACAATTTAATGAATGATAAAACAATAACGTGTACATTTCATTAAATTCTTAGAGAAAATAAGCAAAGAAACTTTCCTAAAGCAAATGGAGAACAGATAAATGGATAGAAGAAACAAAAACTTATGATAATATTCATTAATAGACCATATCCCATTTTACATGTAATGTATATATGTTAAATGTTTCAATGACGATCGAATGAAGTATAATGTAAACAAAAAAATTTATCATGTCAATTACTGAAGAAAGCGACTTAGGTCATTTTGTAACAACCGCTTTTTCTTTTACTTTTTAACTTTTTAAGTACAAAAAAGTACTAAAAGTATTTTTTTGTAAGTATAGTTCATTATTGTTTTAACTTAATTTTGTGATTTTTTAAAGATAGATTAAGAAAAAGTGAAAAGTCGTTGGTGCTTTTGGACTCTAAAGAACGATTTGTCGATGATTACTTCACATCTCTTCTTAAGTACAACTTAGCTTGTACGTAACTTGTAGGTCATTGGTTTGTGTTCTTATGTAAAAGAATTTGTTTTACAATTTTTCAACCTTTACTGAGATCCTTTGCTTTCTTCATCATTCTATTTTGAAAATAAACATTAAATTTTTTCAATTGTAAAATTGATTTTGAATAATTTCTTTAAAAATTGAAAGATTTCAATTAAATTTTTTTTTCCTTTTGAGCTCAGTTTACTAAATATTATGATTTTTATTAATTTTTTTTTAATGTAGAGCTCTAGCAAAGTCATTTGCGATTTTAATGCAACGTTCTAAAAATTTTTGGTTAAACTGGTTTGGTTTATACTTGTTTATATTATTAATTACATTGCCTGTTTGATTAATTCATGCCAAATATGTAAATGTAATCGTTCAAACTGTAAATTCTTGTCGGATTCCGAACATTCCTGTGAATTTAATACATTATTATGTATATTGAAGTAAGCTTTTAGTTGCGTCTTATTAATGTTACACGGTTTAGTTATAACAGTAGCCGAAAAACGAAGAAAAAGAAAAACACAGGTTACCGTTTTCATATTCTTTACTTATTTTAATTTTTTTTTGTCTCAGCGTTAAATGAAAACTATTTAGACACGAACTTTTTGGAACTCATAGTTTAAATGTTTATACATACTTGTATATAATAAAACCAGTTTACGGTACAAAAAAATGTGCAAATATAATTAAAAACACTCTTGCGATATGGACTGGATTGCAAGTGAATGTAATGGTAACAAAGCGATAATCTAATTACTCAATGTCCAACAAATCATAGAAATTAAAGCAAAGTTAAACGAATACTTAAAATCTATAATTATTTTTTAGTAACAATTTTTTTTTTATATTAATGGATATTTAAAAAAAAATATAAAATAATAATGAATTATTAAATTTTTTATAAATTTCAAAATTCAAAGCTTAAATTATTAATGTGCAAGTAAATGAAACTAAAAGCGTGGCAATTAATGATTAATTATGAGAAACAAATTTCGAAAGACAAACTTAACTTATACATATAATTTTATAAGTAAAAAATAATAGGTCTTTTAATTTATTTAGTCTTTATATTAAAGTGCACAACCTTTTTCGCAAAAATTCAAATCTTATTAAAAACACTTATTTGAAGTCAAAAACTAATTTAAGAAGTTTAATAGAAAAAACAAGGAATAAAAATTAAATTATATAACAATACCAGCTTCTTTTTACCAGTTAACCAGGTTCTTTTTGCAAACTTTTAAACCATTTTAAAAACTTAGCATATCTTTAATCTTCACCGTCAATGTATAAAAATGAATGTCTGTTGTCTGTTTTCTATATGCGTCCTGTCCGCATTTCAATATCATTCACCCGATTTTGATGGAAATTTTTGTAAGTTGTTATGTTGCATGCTTGTGAAATTTTTTAACGATCATGGTTTTTCAACAGAAGTCTCTAGCATTTAAGTTATTTGATGTATTCAAAGAAATTCTAAGGATAAAATGAACACTTGTAGAAAATACACCATAATTTCAAAATTTTCAAAAGCAATTGAATACAGTTCTTCAAAAATTTTAGTTAAATATAGCAGATAATACTGTTTATCAGCAAAACAAAAGGGTCTCTAGTTTTATATTTAGAGAGAATATTTTTAGAAAAAGATTGTTTTTCTTTGAAAAAATATTTTACTTCATATGTACTTTTTCTATTGAACGCTGGAAAATAATGAAATCCATCTAATAAAATTGAAGTCACCACAACGAAATTTGAAGTCGTGATGGATAATTGAAATCGTGAAGCGTAAACCCGGTCACCGAAGTTCTATTCCATTTTATCATATTCCGACATATCCGTAACACCCTTCCTGCCACTTTTTAAAATAAAGACGTTTTGAAAGTGAAAGGTTTGATAATAAAAATGAAGGTGCCATCGAGATATTTGCAACCTTTTCAGCTTGTTAGGTTCTCTGAAGTAGGAAAGGAAAATTATAGGTTTGTATATGTATATATGTATAGCGGAGTTAATTTGAAGTTGAATATATATATTCAGTAAATTCTACTTTATTTCAAACCAAAATTTCAATGACAAACGCCTTTTCCTATTGCTTATGATTTATGTGCTTATCTCATGGAAAGAGATGTTTTAGATTTTTCTGCTAGATAAGAAAAGTTATCAAAGAAAAATTAAGAATTGTAGGGCGCAATGAAAATTTGTCAAGGTAATTAAAAAGTTTATTTAAAAATTTTTTAAATTTACACGTAAGCCACCACGTAAAGGATAGAAATCGGAAACGCTGTATTAAAACTACAATTGCGCTTTTAAACTTGCAGTCCTGAATTACAAAATTGTAATTAAATTTATTATAGGAACATCTTCATGCATTTCTTAATTTTTATATGTATATCAATATTTTCAGACTTATGGAGCTCTTTATCACCCGCAAGAAAATTACATCGAGAAAAAAAAAGAAAAACCTCAGGATTTAAGTAAAATTCCTGGTGTACCAGGCGTAGACTATCCACTTTATCATGTTTTTCCACATACAAATTTCCATTGCGGTAGTGTTCCAGCTGTACCTGGAATGTATGCTAACGTGGAAACAGGATGTCAGGTTGTTATTACAATATGCAAACATTCATATAACTATAAATAGATTGGATTATAGTAAATTTACTGTTCCTTTGTATATTTAAGGGCTACCACGTATGTCATGATGGTAGAGAAGGACATCAAGGAGCTCAATTTCTTTGTACCAACGGCACTATTTTTAATCAGAAAGAATTCGCTTGCGATTGGTGGTATAATGTTAATTGTGCAGAAGCTACAAACTATTATCAGTAAGATATAAAACATTCTCAAAATAATTTGCTCATTTGATTTTACTCTTTTTAGTTTAAATTCTGATCCAGAGCATAATCCATATTTCCCCAAAAAGAAACTAGAAGCTATTCCTAATGAAGCACATGATGGACAATTTTATATTCATGCTTAAATTTTTAGGATAATTTTAATGTTTTGAAATTAAACTGAAATTTAATTTTCTCTCGATGCCGAAAGCTCATGTTTTTTGTTTCTTTCAAAATAATTTCATACATGTCATTGTTCAAAATTTGCATGAAATTATCAAATGAAATGTATGCATTGCGCATGGGTATAGAAGAATATGTATACTTGTACTATACACTGAACATTAACGGTTTAAAATCTTAAATTTACACGTGCATTGCACATTTGTCCATTCGTCTGTTTTTTCTTTTGCCATTTAAATTATTTTGTCATTTATTTTCGTATAGCTAACATTTTCTAAAATACTGTAAAAATGTTTATGAATTCGAATCTAAAGGCGTATACTTTTAGTGCAATATAATTTTTACATTTTAAAATTTGTGCAATTAAGAGCGCACAAATGCTTGAAAAAATGATTGTTTAGAAATTTAACTTTATAGCATTTTAGCGTACATAAAAAACTGAGAATACAAATCTTATAATTGAATATTAGGAATTTTGGTAGCAATTTCATATCTTTTATTTTTAAGTCAAATTTAACTGGATTTATTTATTTTTTTTTAATTTTAAATAAGTATGTTGTTACTTGTTTAATTTTGAATAAAAAATATTTATTTCAATCCAATTTTAATAATACCTTTCTTTGAAAGATACCCCTTTTTAGCACTTTTCAAAAAAAATTTTGAACAAAAGTGCTTATTAGTGTCAGTATGTCCGTCCGTTCTATACTCTCGAATAGAGAAAATTTTACATGTACATTGATCTTTACTAAAAACTTATCTCCATAGAAAAAAAATCTATCTATTCCCCCCCCCCCCCCTTTTCCCCCTTCCTTTTTTACTTTTCAAATTTTGCAAACGCGGAAAAGCAGTGGCTTGTCTCTTCTACCGCGTTATACCATAATAAAATTAAGTATTAACTAAAATCCGTTTTTTCCAAATTTTTGATGTCGTTTTTCTTCTAGTTGTAAAATAAGTTGTAAAAGTCTGAAATTTTAATAGCTTTCAGACACTCTAGTTCTATTCGTTAGAAAAAAAATTTTTCTCACCACCACTCCCTCTCAAGTTATCGGCTATCGAAATTTGTGAAATTTGAATTTTTGGCATCTTATATGTCCGAAACCCAAAACTTTTTCAAATTTCTATAAACGCAGAAAGCTTTTAATAGTGTAATAGGTATCATAACTTGTTTTAAGAAGAGTTATTTTCACTTGTTGAAGGGAAAAGTGTAACAATACAAACCGCTGGTTTGACCCAGCTCTTATTTTGTTAGGTACTTCTTCATTATTTCCAAAAATGATGACATTAAAATTAAAATGATCATGCTTTCTAAGGCTAGTTGTTTACTGTTGCATAATATCCGAGCACTGTGACTTCAAAAATGCGGTTAAACCTTAAATATACATTGTATATACATTCAGAAAAGCATACAAAAAGGTCTTGACTTTGTATTATATTCAAAAATGTTTTTTATACAATTTCACTACGCTGAAAAACGCAGAAGACGCAGCCAGAAAATCGAGACTGCTTTTTGTATACATTTCTATAAAAAGTTGCCTTAATAAACAAATTAATACAGTTCACATAAGTTTTTAGCAACAGAATGCATATATACCTCAGTTTTCGTCTTGGTAGAAGTGCCCTAAAAACGCATCTTTTTTATAAACCCTGGCCGTGATATTAAATAAAATTATCTATAACAATATGTAAAAACATTGAAATGGCGAAAGGTGAAGAACAAAATTATTTGGTTTTATTCTTATTACATTTTTATTACAGAAAATTTTTGTATAAATAAAAAGCGAACTCCAGCGCAAACTTTTGTTAATTAGCATAAGGCTGAAAAATTGACTTCAATATCATTGTCACATTTTATCGAAAGGTGTTCAAATAGCTGTATCAACAACTGCAATATTTTCTTACAGTGTTGAATTTTAAAAACTTTAACTTTATTTCTGAAGTTACGAATAATTTGAAATTTACTGCCTGATCGTGTACCTCGGTTTTTTGCTCACTTTTTATTCACTTTCTAATCAGAATTCTCAGTTTTATTCACTTACTAATCTTATTTTCTAATGGATCTTTCACTCGACAGATATTTATAATCTATATGCATATATGTGTACTTTGAATACATTCTTTGTACATACTCAGAAATTTTTATCAAGAAAAGTTGGTATCATTCTGTTATTGTAGCCATAACAATATTTGATTATATGTATGTAAGATCGTACTAGCTTGCTTAGACAGTACATTTCGTACTTATTTTTGTTGTAGACATTGCAGAATTTGATACCGCTCGAATTATACTCCTCTATTCTGAGGCGACAAAAATTGCAAGCAAAATTCTTCAAATTTTCCCTATAAATTAACGGATTTCTCAAAAAATTAGACAAAACTGTTTAAATCCCGTCTATTTCTGCAGCCATAAATTTGCTGCTACGTCCTTCTTCATGGTAAATTTCAGTTTTTGCTATCTCAGATTCACTCAATATTTTATTGTTCCCCGCAATATTTTATTTTCCCATTCGAAAAATAATTTCAAAATCATCGCATCTTTTCGTCATACCCACTAGCTCTTCATAAAAAGCTTTGCGTTTAACGTGATGACGCGGAGTGTATATTCATGAATTTACCTTTAACTTTTTATTCCATAGTTTAAGAAGAAAATGTTAATAGCACGCAAACTCTAAAAATATCTATGTATATCTGTTTCGACAGAAACAGTATTTTCATGTAAAAACAAACAACAACAATTATTATACATTAAAGTTGCTATTATATTTAAATATTAGGATGCAGAACAAAGATTTACAAAGATTTTGAAAGATTAAAAAACTGATGGTTCTTAGTGTGAATACAGAAAAAAAATTTACTTAGTGAAAATTTTATTTTTATTTAAATTTTCAAAGAATACCGCTATAAAATTATTTTTAAAGAATACCACAATAAACTTATTAAATCCTCATTATAAACGTATATTATGTAAATTTTCTAATATATAAAATTTATTTACTTACCGATATCTTAAAGTTAATAATTCGAAAAACATAAACAAAAGTCTATTAAGGGACAGAACAATGAAATTCTTCTATAACAACGAGAAAATAAGAAAGTATTTAAAAAATTCGAATACACTTATTTAATAATAATTTAAAATTATAAAATTTATATGTATGTACACATAAGTATATATACATAATATAAATAATTGTTGGTGAAACCTTAACATATATATGTACACAGTGAACCACGCTTAAGTTCTTCCCCCATAACTTTAGTTTAGATAACTTAACAAATAAAAATATTTTGATACTTAAAAATTAAAAAACATGTATGAAAATACTTATATATGATTTAATTATTTTGTGAAGTGGCAGTATGAGTTCATGAGTTTATTTCAAAATTTGATAATACTACAGATAAATTTTAAATCATGGACATATAATACTAAAAAACTCGCTATAACAGCAAAAACAACAGAAAAAAATTTGTCTTTGAAGAAAAATTGGGTAAACAGAAGTGAAATTTTAAGCAAAATTTTACTATTGCAATTTGAAAACAAACACCTCCGTTGCGAAAATTATTTATCTGTTGAAAATAATGTCAATAGGATTTTAAGCGATTTCTTATCGAAGCCACTTAAACATGCTCGCCCTTAAGCGTGGTGGACTGTATCTTAAATTCCATCCATTGTAAAATTTTATTACATAAAACAGAATATATGTATGTACAAACAAATGCATACAATATGTATAAATATTGTATAAATATAATCTAAATAGATATATAGATTTATACAACTTCATTAGGTATAAATACAAATTCTATACATATTGTATTTACATAACAATAATTTTTCCAATATTATGTGTATTTCCTTTTATACATACTAATTCATACAATACAATAATTCATTCATACATAGTTTCATATAAAATTTATGTCAAACTATAAGCAATATTAATATGCAATAAGGAGGTGTTACGATAGCACCAAATTTTAACGCAAATGCAATTCTTCGTGGTGGAAAGGTGTTTATTAATAAATTATTTTTAACAACAGTCTGCCTGTGCGCTTGTGCATTTAACATTCGAATGAACAAATTTTGATTATGATATTAAAAATTAAACAGATTTCTTGAAAATTTGTAGTATAAAGTTCCATCTGCCAATATGACGAGCTACCTAACCTTTTAGGAAATCAGATGAATAATTTAAGGAATTTACTAACGTAGTTTCTTAATATTTAGCATTTAAGTTCCGTTTATCAATGTCTTTGATTCTTGAAAAATATTCTGTACTAGAATTGCAGATTTTGCTAGGTATGTTACCTATAAAAGATTACAAGCTGAAAGAGCACTTTAGTAATTGTTTTCAACACTTTCGGTATAAGATAAAAAAGCTGAATTGTCAGAATTTTATTCAAGAAAAACATAATGCCGTCAGTAATTCCTGACTGCAACAGAGTTTTATAGTGGAAAAAACAATATTCAAAATTTTTTAACAAAACTTATTGTAGATTTTTTATTAGTCAAGCAAATAAATGTTTTTTTAGTAAAATCTTGAATTATGCATTTTAGCATAATTGAATATTTGGCTAGTTTTGTCAAATTAATCAATAAAATTAAATCAATAAACGATTTTGCCAATCTATAGCTTTTTAAATCTCTTTTTGACAAATTTATATACTTGACAAATACTCCAAATTTATGAAAAATTTCCGGGAAAAAACCTACATTTGTATAGTAATTACAAATATAGACATACATAATCTATATTGTATAATTTTTCATTATGAGTCATACTTAAACAAATCCACCGGGTGATAACCTTTTATTTATATTCATGTTTCTCATAAAAAAAGTTTTCAATAGTATAGGAATCAATGTATACGTTAAACTTTATAAATTAAAGAAAAAACTGCACCTCTCGCTTTCTTATCGCTTTAAAACCGCAATATAATATACCATTGTTTGATCAAATTAAAAACCAATGATTTGTAAAAATCACTTTTCGTTTCAATAATTGATAATAAATAAAAGTGTATGTTTTCAAAAACTAAAATTTAACTGAGAAACAAATTTATTTTTAATTTTTACAACAAAAGTAAAATAAAGAAAGATTCTATTAATAAACGCAATAATAAAATAAAAAACAACAATAACAATTCAATAAAATAGTGAATTAAATAGTTTAAGAGTACTTCCCTGTATGTCACATACATTTGTGCAGTTGATGTATGTATATGAAGTCTGAAGTGTCATAACGCAACTGTCATAAATGCTGCATTGAAAATACAATTGGCGATCATTTTAGTATTTTTAAAAAAAATTGTTTTTAGTCAATTTAAAAAATTGCCTAATTGTAGGTAATTATTATCTGAAAAAAGATTATTAACACGTTCGCGGACACGAATGCTATAGCATTCATTTTCATAGTGATGCAAAATGACGTGAATGCTATAGCATTCAAATTTTAAAGCCAATTTTTATTCATTTAATTCATGTCACTCTAGTAGTTGAAAAATATTATCTATATCGTAGTGGGTGCTATAACATTCATTGTATAAAATGGCTAAAATATAATGCTCTGACTATTCTTATTTTCAAAAATAATTAGTTGTATTAGTTTCAAAAATAATTGCTTGTATATTTTTGCAGCTCCCTGAAACTTTTAGCGTCCGCGAACGTGTTAATGAAATTGACAGGATTTTAAAATTTTTAACATACTGCAACTATTTCCAAGTTTCCCTTCATACAACTCTTTTCCAAGTTTCCAAAACTTCGATTGAGAAATTTTCAAAAACCAGTTGCCAAAGTAAACTTCCATAGAAAATCTAAAAAATCATGTTGAAGTTGTAAAAATTTTAAATAGTAGACGGATAGATTGAGATTTTTAACAAATTATTTGTTTGAAATATTGTAAAATATGCTAAAACACAAAACTTTATATAAAATTGTGCTACCAGAATCATATAGATAGTTTGAAGGCAGATTTTAATGTTTGAAGACCTTTTGGTTTTTTATTTTTATGTACGTAAATTTTAAAAGGATTTTAATAAATTAAATGCAATATTTTTTTTAAAAACATAAAGTCGTAATAAATTTTAAATAAAAACCAATAAACACTAAGCTGACGGTACTTAGAAATATATAGAACAAAAACAACAAGTTTACAGCCGTTCACATTGGAAGGTAAAATTTTTTCAGCAGTGAATAATTTTTTCACTGGTGCTACCAGGGAAATCAGACAAATCATAATGGTAAATTTTAGAAGATATACATACTGATAAATTTTTTGAAATTAAAATTTGTCATTTAGAAAAAAACGACATCAGACGCCGAAGATTCACAGAACAATCAATCAGCCACACAAAAGGGTAACAGCCCAATCATGAGCACAATATCGCAACAAGAATTGTCAATTAGAAGTAGTGAAGATTTAACCAACTCTAATGGGAATGAAAACAATGTTATGGATCGGGTAGTTAATAGAAATTCAGGAGAATATAATGAATCACCTAAGAGCATAACATCTGGTCAAGAAGGAGTTTTTTTCAGCAAACATAGTAAGATTAACGATGGACCTGCGAGCGCTCGCCGTTATATCTCAAAATCTCAAATGAGAGGTGAAAACATATACATTATACGTTATCCATGTTAAATTTTTTGTTATCAATTATTTTCTTTCTTAGAATTCCGTGAAGCATTTCGTCTATTTGATAAAGATGGAGATGGTTGTATTACAAAAGAGGAGCTTGGAACTGTTATGAGATCACTAGGACAATTCGCAAGAGTAGAAGAGCTGCAAGAAATGCTACAAGAAATTGATGTTGACGGTATAGTGCCAGAAAAAAAACCGATTTTATTAAATTCCTTACAAAACAATTTTCAGGTGATGGCAATGTTAGTTTCGAAGAATTTGTTGATATTCTTTCAAATATAACAGAAGATACAACTGGTCTATCACCAGCAGATCAAGAAGAAAGAGAACTTCGGGATGCTTTTAGAGTATTTGATAAGCATAATCGTGGTTACATCACTGCTTCAGATTTACGAGCTGTTCTACAATGTTTGGGAGAAAATCTTGATGAAGATGAGAGTAAGAAAAAATTATAATTATTGTTCTGTTTTTGTTTACTTTAATTCCATTTGTAGTTGAGGAGATGATAAGAGAGGTAGATGTTGATGGAGATGGTCGAATTGATTTTTATGAGTTCGTTCATGCTTTAGGTGAACCGGAAGATTCACAAGAAGATGAAGAAGAAGTAACATCACCTTTACAAACACCAAGATCGCCAGATATCGCTTATTAAAATTGTGATATTCTTTAAAAATATTTTACTTTTTTTATGAATTTTCAATTTATAATTGTCAAAAAAAGTAATTATAAACAAAAAAAATCCAATATTAGATATTTAATAGATTTGAGAAAAAATCAAATCAATTTCAAAATAATTAAAAGATACTTATAATAAATAAAAAACGAATTAATTTCAATTTTAATGAAATCTTCTTGTATAATAATGAAATTTTAATTAATTAATAAATAAATCTTTTACTTTTTTGAGTGTAAGCAAATCTTTCAAATAAATATGAAAAAGAAATAAAACGCACATATTTAAAAAAAACTTATATGTATATATAGTACATTTTTTAAATGTCAAGAAAAAGTTAATTATCATGTCACTTGAGCCCATATTGGTTCTCGTAGAGCAAGTGCTATATCTGTCATTGTCTAGACTAAATCCATCATTCTGCTTAAGTAGTAATTGAGTCTCTCGATTGCACATTGAATTCAATGTGCTTTTATTCAACATGAAGTCTCGAGTACAAAACTAAACTATCAGTATTATGGCAAAGTTCAACTCCTACATACAACTTCGTATTTATAACTTAATTATTCCGTTAATACAAACTTCAAGTTAAAGTTTCCTTAAACTACTACTTTTTATACTTAAAGTCAAAGGAAAGTTATGCGAGCCTTGTTTTCTATTTAAGTAAAGTTCAGTCAACAGAGTTATACTCTTAAATTATATATCAAATTTAAGAAAAACCCACATCATTATAAATAAATTTTATATTTTATGTATTAATTACATACGCACATAATACATTAATGTTTTTACAAACCTAATAAATATAAAAATATCAAAATAAATTCTATTTCATATTTTTTTTATAATTAAATCATAACAGTTTTCTAAATTATATTAAAGTTATAACCAAGTTCAAGACGATTGATCATAAAGTTATTATTAATTTAATTATAATTAAACGCACACTACAGAAAAGTTTTTTTTGCTGTGAAGTTGAAAAACTATGATGTGAAGGTAGATTGGCATATTCATGTATGTTAAACACCCTGGTGTTTTGCTGTTTAGAATAATAATATCATTGAATTAATATAATTTTATTAAATATTTTTATAAGGAATTTACGAGGATGATCAACATGACCAATTCCTTTAACATGAGCATGAAACCCACCAGGCTTATCAAAAATACATTCTGCAACACATTCTAAAATAAAAGCTTTAAAAATTGCACGCTTTATAATATAAAAATATTTCTCGTCGTTTACATAGTGACCAATATGATTTTCCCATTGTCGTTCACTGTCTCCTGTTCATGTATGTTTAAAAATTATATGTAGGATGCGAATGATTATCATCGTGTTCGTGAGCGACAGCAATGATAGAGAATAAAACTAATTAAACAAAACTGCTCAATAAAATTTCGTTCACTTTGGTGTTTAAAGTAAAATGTATGTGTAAAATAGTTTTTAAATGACTAATACTTATTTCTGTGCTGCAGCATTTTCATATTTAACTAAATTAGTTACGCAAACGATACAGATTTAAAAACTTTTAACTGATCCTTTTTTAATTCATGATTATTAGATAATTTTATTTCTCATTAAAATGCAATTTGTATTTCTTTTACAACTTTTTAAAAACAATTCTAAGATACTTCGTAGAGTCAGTGCTCACCTGTGATGACTTACTTTAAGTTCTTATATCCAAGAGTAATCCTTCAATTTAGAAAAACTAAGTATATGTGTAGGTAAAAAAGCTCCAAATGTATATAAAATTTTAGCCTTTTTTTAGGAGAAATTAAATTTCTCTTTGATATTATTTATAGTTGCGTTAGTTATTCCTATGTTCAGAAACGATTCAACGCATACAGGTTTTCTTATGTTCACCATTTTTGGCATTTTAAACTTTCTCACTGTTAATATATTGGGACCCAATGTGTTAAAATATGAATGCGCGTATATTAGTAATTCATTTAATAAAGGAAGGGAAATTAAAACTTAGATAAGGTTTGTCCTTGGCTCGAAAAATATAAAAAATTAACTTAGCATAATAAGTTATTTACTAACACAATAAGTTATAATACTTTTTGCAAGCATTATGTTGATTTACATCAAAATAATCTGATAGGAACACATGACCGCAAGATATTGTCTAGTTTAGCTAAAATGTTTCATGAGACTACGAAAATGCCTTTTAAATACTCCTTACACGTTTTAGAGAGGCTAGATATGATAAAAAATCTCCTTGTTCAGTTTCCGAGCCTTAACATTTACAAAAAATTTATAAGTTCAGGATGTTTACACCTTGAATGTAAACATTAAATTTCACAGAAATTGGGTGATTTTTTCTCTTTATATGAGCAAAAATGTAAACTTGGCCCGTATTTTTTGTTTTATTTGCTTTCCGTAGATATTATAAAAAATATAAAATCGGCCCCCAGTTCCGTTTTAGAGCTCTTATCTCTCAAAAAAATTTATAAATTCATTGTATTAATACACAAATTTCAATATTAAATTTCAAGGAAATTGACTGATTATTCTATTTATATACGTAAAAGCGTCAAATTGGCATCCAAAAAGGTTCAGCTTCCGAGGTCTAATATTTCCCAAAAGTTGATCAATCCGTGCCGTAGTCAAAATAAACTCATATATAAAATGTTATTAAAATCGGTTCAGCCGAGCTTGAGATAAACGCGTACACACACAGATCGACAAACCGGCATCTCTGTAAAAATAGTTTATTTCCACTTCTCTACTACGGAGAAATGCGTTCCCTTCCCTTCTTATTGTATACAATGCGGTTCTATTCTAAGTATAAAAACGCTAAAAGTATTATTTAGGTCGTGGTTATATCTCAACTTACAATATAAATTGCCGTTTAAAGACATTTTCAATTTATTTTAAGTATAAGCTTCATAGTCTTAAAGAGAAACGGGTTTTGTTTACTTTCGGAAAATATTTTTTGACTGGAATAATAAGAAAAGAAGAAAGGATTACAAAAATCTTGAAAAACGTTTGTAACAATAAATTTTTTAATATCTACTTTAAATTCGTAATAAATAAAATTGGGTCAAATTCGTAATAAATAAAATAGGTTTGTAATTTCCTTCAACAAATGAAACTACCGCTTTCAAAAATAATCAACCTGTGTATTACATTATCAAAATTACTTTCCTGCATATACGAAACTATTTCGAAAATTGCGATAAAAATAAAAAAAATTGCAATGAAAAAAAAAATCTAGTAAAACAGATCAAATTAAAAATTTTGTGATATTAAATATTTTATTTTTATCACAAATGTCACATTCATATCCTCTGATAAATCTCGGAGAAATTCTTCTTCGGATCAGTATGAAATTATTTGAACGAGATCTTGTAATAACGTATGCGAACAGACGAAAGTATACCTCGTATGTAAAAAAATAAAACTGAAATCAGCTCGTTTTTAGAAAATTCTTAGTTTTTACAGAATTTATATTACAAATTTAGTTAATGTATTGTTAGCGGGAAAGTGTAACGTACAATGATTTTTCGTACGATTTATGATATTAATCCAATAAATGATAATTTCATAATTAAGATATGTAAGGTACCATATCTAATATCTCAATACTACAAAGTTCACATTTCATATGCACAAAAATCTGCAAAGTCCAAAGATCAGTGTAGTTTTATATTATGTTTAATTTTTGCTTTGTCGCAGTTAGTGTGAGAGTAGTGTAAATGCATGAAAAATAAAAAAAAAATAGTACAAAAAAGAATTTTTATTATTTGTTGTGTTCGCACTTTACAAACTTCATATTTAATGTCAATAAATGTCTTGTGAAATCAACTAGATTGCAGTCAAAAAAAGTAAAGTCGCAAATATAACGCATATGTATATCTGCACAATTAAAGTCAGGAGTTTATACACTTAATTATCATAAAATTTTATTTTATTGCAAAAATTTTGTAAATATTACAATAAAAAATAATTTTAGTCAATTTTACAGTAAGAACCAAAGTGTTTAGCAAAAATATATAGTTATGTGATCTTTTAAATAATATTCAGTTTTCTGTATTTAAATAAAGATTTTAGAAAGAAAAAAGTCTTTGGAAAATTGATAAACTGACTTGACATAAATAGTTGGAAACATATACATACATATTATGCATGAAAAAAACAAAAAATTTGATTTTAAACTAATAATAGCTGAAAGTAAGGTATATGTATGTTTTGTGCATATACATATGTATAAGTAAAAGGAATATGTGTATATACATTAAAATTCATATATGTATGTATGTGGGCTGCCAAGTTTTAACACAAGTAAAACTATGAAAAGGTGTCTTTTTGTTCAAATATGAAAACCAGTTCCGGAAATTAAATAAAGTTTTAATGTACAACGTTTTCATGAAATTCTTAGGCTACTTAAACAATGCATTATAATAACACAATTTCAGAAAAACGTAATGCACGCAATAGTTCAACAAGTTCAAATTTTGTTTTATATTTGAAGTTATTTAGTTTAAATTTTGAGTAATTATCAATTTTCTTTGCTTTTTATTTTTCCTGATAATAAAAATACATTATAATACATTTGAACATAATGATGTAGATGAAATAAAATAACAAACAATAAATACTCTGGAATGCGATTCACACTCTATACCGTAAAAACTGTATGAATAACAACATAAACAAAAAAAAACTCCACATTTATAGCGGAAATTATATGTAAAAATGAAGAAAGTAAAAACTTAAATCATTTTTTTCCGCATTTGTTCAACACAGACTTTTAGACGTGCACATACATTCATATTATTATACGAGCCCATTGAGAAAATTTCCACGAATTGTCAGATCGACATGCATAATTCTCTAAAACAATATTTCAATTAAAATAGTGTTACATAATCTACTAAGTATTGAGTGCTGCTGATGTATTGTAATTTTTTTTTTTTGGAAACAGAAACTAATGTGAAATGTAGATGCTAAGATATTGTACAAGTATACAAGTGTACGATGTTTAACAGTAAATTTACTAACGTGCATAATCTTTTTTATTCAATATAAGTATGTATGTAATTAATTCTGTTAATTTAAAATGCGAGCATTGTTTAGAAATGCTGTTCCACTATTGTATGTGTCTTTAATTTTATTATAAAAAACCTACATTTTGTATTATATAATACAGTAAAACGCGTTTATA